TATGCTACCTGATCTCTATGAGATCTGAGGGAGCAATGTGAAGATCAAACATACTTTTTCTAGTCATATCATTAAGTGAGACTATTTCCTTCAACTTGCACTTAAAAAGATACTCAAATACATTACCATAATTTAGTATTCTGACTTTACAAAGGCCAGGTGACACTGCTCAACTCCAGTTCTCTTCTGCTTACACAGACACATACCAAAACCCCTTTAACAAGAAGATTTTTTCTAATTGGTACTAATAGCCTTTATGTTGAAAAGAAACTCTTTCAAAGCATTGAGTAGAATAAAAAGTAAGTACTGAAAACTTAGAAGAAAAAGTAAAATATATTCAAACTTTGATAGGAGGAATAAACAAAGGATTTTAAAGAGACCAAGGCACTTTGTCTCTTGAAGGATGTACCTCTGCACTTTAAAGTAGCCTCCTTAGGTCTTCTTAAGTTAAAAACACACAAATACCAACAGTCTAAATGGACGACCAGTCTTTTGGTTAAAACTGTCTCTGGATACACAGCGACTAGAATACAGCGTCAAACTTACATATCTTCATTTTAATTTCAACTTCATAAAACTCAAAAAAAACGAAGTAGAAAAAAAATTAGTCTGACATATGAAAGATGCCCATATGTTTTCAATGTATGTGGATACTGACTTTAGTTTTCATCCTATCCTAGACTTGCAGCTCTATGCTTACTTAGACCTGGTTTTACTCTGTCGTTGATCTGTGTCAATTCTAAACTGATCTGAAAAGGAGAGCAGGACAGCAGCTGAGAAGAGCGTGGTGGGCAGCACACCACCTGCATAAAGAGGTACATTCAGCTCACACATCTGCAGGTGTGTGACCTCTCCAGTGAACTGAATGAAAGCAGCACGTCTACTTTCAAAGTAGAATTTGATCAGAAGAAAAAAGTGGCAAGATTGGAACCACAGGAAAGATTAAAACTATCAGAAAAGTAAAAATTCTGTCTCTAATCCCTATCAACCCACATGCAGTTAAGATACTGTCTAGCAAGTGAAATTCTGCACAACAGAAAAATTAGGGAGATTGTTATTTCAGGAGTAAACAATCATCTCTGCTCTGTCAAGTTCCCAAGAATCTCCAGTCCAGCATCCTTTTCCCAAAAGTTTGTTATCAACTCTTTCATTAAAGCATCCTTTAGAAACTCTTTTCCAACAAAATTCTGTTTCAAGATTACTACACTGCTCTAAAAGTCTGACATGTTACAGTTTATTTACAGTCACTGGATTTTACCTTACTGTTATTAAATGACAGAAGTTGCATATATCTTACTGTTTTTATAAATGTGAGGAGCTGAAATCAGGAGAGCTTTAAAATGGCTACCATTTTATCTAACATTAGAATCTATTCTTTTTCTTATTAATTGCAAAAAAAAAAAAGAAGTTTTCAGACAATTCCAAAATGCTCAAAAAGTTAACTGTGACATAGTGTAAGTAGTTGCAATTCTATGCTTGACACCAAGTGCATATTTGGTCTAGAAAAAGAGTCATCTTCGGCCTGATTCTAGTCAGTGGAGTCACTCAGTTTTACAGTCAACATGGTAGGTACAGGTTTCATTCAATCTCTTCAGTAGTTTACATGGATCGATCTACTATTATGAAAAGAACCATAAACGTATACAAAAAAATTTAGTTCTTTATCCAGCATCCACTAAATGTCTCAGAGGGTTCCAGACCACCTCCTCACACATGTAAGTAAAAGCTGAAGAATAAAAAGCAAGGACTGATGTTATCTCAAGGTTATGGAAACATCATTAAACCATAAAACCACGGTGTCAAAAATCTATCTTGACATTAGAAAATGTCTCAGTGGAGGTAAAGCCTTATCACGTAATTAACTGCAGATAATTCTGTTTAATACTGAGGATCAGAAATTAAAAACAGTCACAACCTTGATAAATGGTATGTTAAATAAACTGGAGCTTCGGAAGGCTGATCAGATAGTAAGAATGAAAAAATCCAACTCCAGCTCAAAGGACGGTTGACACAAAAGCAAATTGTCTAGTAAGGACAAGGCAACACTGTTAAAAAGGAAGGTACATTACCCTTCTGAAACACCACCCCATCCAGTACAGCTGCTATTTGCCACAGGTCTTATGCAAACTAAAAGTACATTGGGGTGAAATTCTGTTCCCATAGAAAGAAATGGCAAAACTTTATATGATTTTCGATGGGAAGGTTCCACAAGTTCGCACTCCAGGGGACTCTCTGCCCATTAAGCATCACAAGCAAGTAAATAAAACTACAATTAATTTTCACAATGACAAGAGCATTGGCCAGCAGAGAAGGAGGACTGTTTAAAAGAGCTTCCGAGAAGCTCTTTTGACCTAAATCAGGTTGGAGATGTGCCAAGAACTATCTGGAAATTAGTCATCTCGCTGCAGGACCATTTTTCTCTTTTGTCTGGCTGTCTGCTTATTTTCCTTCTTGAGGATCCAGCATCAAACAGAATAAAAAATGACCTTTGACTGGATCTTTTTGTGGCATGCAATGAAAGAACTGATCCAAAAAAGTTCAATGTTAGAATAAGCACCTACTGAACTTGAAAGGAATGTTGGAAGAGGTTGGGAAAACAAGATTACATCTTGAAGTCATGTATCTGTAGTATTTCTTTATTCTATGACCACACAGAGAAGTCATCACAGCTGGTCTTTTTTAGAGTTACATTACAGAGAAGAGACTGCATAAGCCTTTTATCAGAGACTTTACAGTTTCAAAGCCTTAAATTTTACCTGCTGGGAATAAGAATCCCTACTCATCTTAAGGAAAAAATAGCAGTTTTTCTTCCATTGACATTCAGCTTATCTTCCAAAAAACATTCTATGGGAGTGGCAGAAAATGCCTGCTGCTGTCTCATTAGGGATGGGAGCATATTAAAATAATATTTTAATATAATGCCCCACTTCATAACACACTCATCTGACAACCACATTGGGAAGGCTGCAAACTACCGTATGGAAAATCAGAGAATGACAATAGAGCTTTCCAAAAAGCAATGTTCTTGACAGAACTCCAAATGAGATACTAATTTTACTCACGCATAAAGCATATAGGTGTATTTAGTCAACAGGTCCTTTCTTCCAACCAATTCACCTGTTTAGTCAGATTCTTCTGTCCCTTCTGTCAATTATTTTTATTACTAGTAATATGAAGTACCTGTGCCTATGAAAGGTGTATGTCTTTTACTCTCCATTTGCCTAGGGCAAACTATCACACAGACTCAGTCAAATGAGCAAAAGAAGGAAACGAGACCTACTTCAACAGTCTGAGAGCCTCTGAATTTCCAGAAGGAAAAAAAAAGACAACAACTTAAAAACTTGGTACTTTGCAGTACATTCAATAGGGTAGGGACAAATTCACAGTCAACATAAGGAATGAACTGAGTTAAAAATATCTTTGTGATAGCAAAGCTATAGTGGGACAAACGTCATTAACAGGAGCATTCCTAGTTCTCCAGTTAACAGGACATGGAGCTGGGAAGTCTTGACTTTCACTCCGTCCTTGATGCATTGTCTTGGTAAAATACATGGGAGGCAAGAGGAGGCGCGTGTATCTGCAGATGCTTATGCATGCATGTACATAAAAAAATTGAAACGGTTCTTTATTTTCTTCACCAGTGCTCCAATACATTGAGCAACCATCACACTGCTCCCGTAAAACCACCACGGCCAGCCTCCATCTTAAGCTTAATATTACATAGAAGGCAACAACATTTGTGAAGAATTTCTTACAAGCTATGACTCAGTTCAAACCGCTTGGGCAGTGATCATCTTCTGATACTCAGCTTTATCTTCAGCTGTACAAATTCTCTAAACCAGATAAGACAATGTGCATATTCCTGTGAAATGCATCTGACAAAGTTCAGGCCAAACCAGCGTGCTAACACAAGACAGTAAAAGTTTGAGCAGAGACTAGGTTTCCATCCATGAGTCCTTTTGATTGGGTGTATTTCAGCCTGCGTGGTTTTTCAGGGAAAATTGCAAGTTTACATCACAGCAGTTTAATCACCAACAAAGAAATCCAGCAAAACAACACAGTTGATTATATTACTCCTTCTGTTCAAGATTCCACAATTGCATAGACAGATTAAACAATGTAAAAAATCCTATACTGAATTTTTATTTAATTTCTTTAAAAGAGGTTCTTCCTTTTGTTTATATCAGAAGAAAAACATCTAATGGTTTGACTCACTTCATAAGAAAATGCTTATTAAGACAACTAAAATATACAAGAGATAAGATAAATCTTATGGTAGAATTTATCAATCACTTAAAAATTAAAAAAATTAAGTCAAGTTAAAACTATGAGTATTCTCCATATGAAGTTCTTCTGCTAGCACTGTTCAAATGAAGCTTTCCATTGAAAGCAATAAACCACACGCAGCAAAAGCCAACAATATTTAGTTAGTAACATAACAAACATATGTCATGGACATTAATTTCAAGTACTTTACATGTAGCCTTGTAGAATAGATGATCCACGTGGACCCTGAGAAAGCAGTTTGTGGGATACAGTACTGTCAGGAACACCCATTAGCGCGTATTACTAAAAGACAAAATGGGATGGGAGTATATCTGCAAATACAAGATATTGCACCTTGCAGAAAATTTCTAGGCTGGAGAGTGATGCTATACGCTCCTCATCACTGTGGAAAATTTACTTAGGTTGATTGACTCAATTGGGTTTGAACTTGTTTGGTTTTTAATGCAACTTTTTCCAAGAGCTTTAACATGATAATTTAAAAAGGGAAAAGAAAAAATCCTCTGGCTGCTGCTTTAATTTTGAAGTGTTACAATTATATAAAAGCTATACTTCTGCTTAAATACTGACTGCATAGAAAAAAATAAATAGTTTGATTTCACTTTGTCATATATCATATTCTGGATGTATCTACTGAACTCCCACTCAAAAATAAATCAAGAACACAAGGAGAGGATAATTTATGAGTTGCCAAGCAATCACATTTTAACACTTACTTTTGTGAAGATCTGAAAAAAGTCGATTGCAGGTGGCAAGTGAGATGCATCCTGGATCTCTGTTTTCAAATACAGTTGCAACGTCTGTGCAAGGTGCCTGAGGCCATCTTTCATTTCTTCACTTAACTGTTCAAGATCTTAAGGGGAAACGAAAAAAGTATACCAGGTCATAAACAGAACCTTTTGCCAACATTTTGAAAATGTCCAATGGCAGCCATTCAGTCTAGACATTTCCAGTCCCAGAATTAATCCTGACAGGGTGCAATTTTGACAGAGGGTTGACATTTGTCATTTTTTGTGACAGCTACCTGTCAACACACAGACGAGTCTATCAGGTTGCTTCTGCCAAATCATACGATTACAACGGTGAGTTAAAGATCAAAAGCCAACACATAAAGCAGATGTGGAAGCAGATGTAAGACATACAAAAGTTAGGTATCTGGGTTTGTAACATTAAAAATGTGCTTGAAAGTTTATGCAGCAGTATCTCTCTTCTTGCGGCACTGCATTTTTTTGTACTGCATTCTCCATAGATGTGTCAGAAACACTTCGTGCTGGCAGGTCAAAAGGGAAAGTATTTTAGAGACAAAGGTAGTTTCGTACACAGCAGCTGGTAAACAGAATGGATGTGGAAGAATATTAAGCAAATACCACTTTACTAAATACTAAAGCACCATTATTCATGCCTTATGGATAGGAATCCTGAAGCATAAAAAAACATAGTGCCTTATTTTCTAATGCATGATCAGGCATGCATCAGGTCACTGATAACATGGAAAGTGAAACTCAGCTGACCTAGTAAGTTCAGTGCCTCATTATTTGCTTCATATTTTCTTTTTCCTGACAGCACAAAATGAATAAGGCCTAAATGGAGAATGTGAAGGTGAAGAGATGCAAGCATCCGTCTATAACAAAAGGCAAAGAGGATTACTATGTGCTATGAATCAATTTCATCTCTGCGTAATGGTGAATTGTTATTTTATTTTATACATCTGTCCTTAATGGGAATGAAAATAACCTTTTACCAGGAAAGTTTCTTCCCTGTACTTGAGAGCCACGCTTGTTGGCCTCCTGGAAGGACAATTTAAGATCTATGTTCCTCTTTGAAGCTCTCCTAGTCACTCACTTAAAAAGAGGATGCAATTAAAGCAGATGTCACTGGGTTTGGTTAAACAGCTGTCTAGTGTGTACAAAGCTTGGGCTTCTATGCTCTATCCCACCCGCTATCCCTCTGCTTGAAGATTCCGATTATTTTGTAGGTTGTAAATTGGCTATCACAGAGTTCCCATTTCAGACACAGCACACAAGTGAGCTGCTTTAACAATCTTCTGTGAACTACTTCTGGCAGAGCACTAAATGCTGGCTTACTAAAATGACCAGTACCCATGGTTAGCTAACAGCCAGGAGTCTTCCAGTGGGACCAGCTACAATTTGCTTCTTGTTTGGTACGGGTTTCCTTATTTGCAAACTCTTTGGTTCTGTTTAGAAGTGTTAGCCACTGACAGCCACCCTGGTCAGTTGAATAATGCAGTCCTACCAGTACACCGTATTATAGCAAACATATCCTTCTTCATGCTACATAGAGAGTTCAAGAAGCATCTATACTACCTATTGACTATTGCTTCCATTTCAGCGTGAAGTAACACTTTCCAAGATTTGCTCCCATTCCAATGGTCAGTCATTGCTGCTAAAATGTCATCTACAAGCCATGCCCGGGGTGACTGCAACGTGCTGAGCAAGCAATGACTCCAGAGGAATCTTAAGGGTGGTCTGTCCCTAACTAGGGTTCTTCCAGAGCAATCAGATTCAGCTCCTGACAAAGTTCAAACCTGTCAGTAGTAAGAATGCTAAGATATGCCCCTCCATACCTGGCACAAAGCCTATTTAAAAAAATTAAAAATTGCCTTTTTATAACTACCCACAGTGCCACTCATGTGCATCTTAACAGTGTGGACATTTGAGAGCGATCTTGCAAGCTTGAAAAAATGTATATGTTAGAAATCCAGACGTGTGTGCTCTTCACAATGTATGGAAAACTCTGGTACAGAAAAGTACCATATCTATGAGAACTGTGTCTTCAAGCAAAGCAGTATACTTTTAGATGACTGGAAAACTCAAGTTCAAAAATTTTAAAAAAAACCTCATAAACATACACTTGCATTTCTTACATAATATTCCTTTGAAACTAAAGATTCTTTTTCCTTTAAATGTAATTTTGCAAGATGACACGTCATTCACCTTAAACTACTTCATGCACATTGCAAAATGTATTATGACAAAGAGAGGAAGGCATAAGTTGCTTCACTATTAGCAAATAAAACACCTCTAGAATGGAGAAGAGGAATCATGTAAGCAGTGTAGTACATGCTTTTTTGACTTTCCTATGGATTCTAACAAGTACCAAAGGAAAGTAACTCCTTATCAACACCATCTGTAAATTGTGTGGTAAATGGGAAAAATGCTATGAAATAACAGTAGCTTTCTGAGGATACAGAGGCAGCAAAAACCATCACAGCTAGTACAAGTCGTCACACAATCCCAAAACACTCTTTTGGACTATTCTAACTCCAAAACCATAAAGACCATCTATCACTCTAGCAAGAAAGCTGTGAATAGGAAAGAGGCAGTCAAAACCTTTACATAAGATTATGCAAGCGTCACAGGCCTTTTGTACTGTATTCTGTACAGTAACTACACCGGTTAATGTCTAGGAGTCCTGAACACCTTGCGCTTTGGAGTTAAGATTACTACACAGGAATTGTTATTAAGGATATTAGACTAAATACAGATGAAAGACTAGATGTGGATCTCTCACTTGCCTACTCCTAAACTAGCTTGTTATGGACCATCTGTTTCTGTCTCAGTGAGAGGACAGCCATTCCACCTGCATCACAGGCTGTTATCAGCATTTCCTTCAGAATGAGAATTACTAGTAGTAGTTTTCGGTCTGTTTACAGATATTTGTACCATTTATCCATTGCAGCTCAGGCCTGTGCAATACCAGGCTTCTCTCCAGACATCTCTTCACACTATTCCTCTTGTCTCCAGTCAAGCCAAGAGAAGCTGAGATGGTCTCCTGAGGGGTACTGAGAAACCTCAGTTGGTATGGAATTATCACTTACACAAAAATCATTGCCTGCACTAGATAAAATTGTGTACAAGCTGTAAAAGAGATAAATATTTAATTTTTAAAGGGAAACTCTTCCCTTCCCCACAGTTCCTCCTGTGCCACTGTTCAACCAGCCATTGGTACAACAGAGCACCACAAAGAACGTATTTCCCTGGATCCCAGCAGTGCCATGAAGCATAGAAGTCCATAATCTTCATCATTTTAACTTCATTTGAAGCATCTGGAAATGCTGCTCTTAATTCAGATACTCATCTAACTCACCACAAACCTTTGTTATGTGATTTCAGAATAACCATGGCAGAAAATCGTGATGTTTTAAATAACAGAAATTCATACCCTGTATCCCTTTTAATTTGTTGCCTTATTAAGGTCTTTTGCCCTTGCAGTTTGGGATAAGGCAGCAGAATGTCAGGATGTACAGAAGTAAAACCTAACACTAGTTACTGTAGTTTTTTATTTATGTGTTTTTTACTTCTACCTGACTATATCAATAGATCAAGCTGGTTTATAGCCAAAGATCTGAATGACACTAAAAAATGTTGAGGTAATCAAAATGTTCACATTACTCTCCAGAAAATACCTTTAAGCAAGATAGAAGAATGAACTAAGGGTGTGTTTTTTCCCTTATAAGTCTTTAACCTTTAAGCTACCGCAAAATCTGGAAAAAACGTTTTCTATTTCAACATTAGCTCTGCTGAGAGCTTATAATGAGCACCCTCTCCTATCCAAGCAGTTGAAATTTGAGAAAGTACAAAAATAACACCTGCACAAGTTTATCTTTTTTTCTCCATTGAAAAGTCATGTAGAATAAAGACATGCACATATCTTTTGCAAATTTTAGATTTCTTTCCTTTTTATGGGAGTTGTTTTGAAGCTTTATGCAAGAGCACATAAATATTAAAAAGTAACACCCCAATGTAAAAAATATATGTATTTTTGCATAGGTATATAAAAATATTGACACTGTATGTAGTAAGCCAGATATTGAGTAAATTAAAAACTTAACAGGCAAGATGTACACTGTAAAATGAGAAAAAATATTAAAGCCAAAAAATCAGGTGGAAGTCTTGCTTGAACAAGACACACATTTTTTCCTTGATCTTTGAAAAAACTGCTCTTTCCCACAGAAGTTTTAGCAGGTATTGTCTTTGATTCTGTTATTTAACAGAGCAGACCTTCAGAAGGCAAGCTGCAGGACAATCAGATGGACATTCTGTAAAGCTGAACTTGGAAGAATTTCCTGCAATATGGTTGTCAATTACTCACTTGACTGAAGATCGGAAAAAGAGTAGAGTCTCTCAGAAAGGCACACTGATTGTCTAAGCTGTAGAGAAAAACAGATAATTAACACTTACATACCACACTTTATCTTGAAAACACTCTACAAGATTGATTACTCAATGTGATATGCCTGTGAGATAATTAGGTAAGGCTAACAGCATCAACATAAATCTAGTCATTCCACACTTGCTGTAAACTATCATAAAAATACTAATTTTTTATTGCTGTTACAACACTGGGTTTTTTTGTTGGTTTTTTTTTTCCACTTCGGCAGCTTGCCCTCAGTAATTTTCTCTGGCCCTATACACCATGACTGAAAGCAATTTATGCAGTTAGCAGTCTCAGATTTCATGTGACTATAATTAATACACAGTATAGCCAGGTACATATTTGCCCTTTAAAAACAATCATGCACACACTCTTCCCAACAATGTATAAATTAAGATATTAAATCATATGTTATATCAGATCACAACAAATATGCGTTTTTATCCAAGACAGCGAGCATCATGGCAGGGTCAGCAAAAAAAGGGGCAAATCCTTTTTTGAATTACAATCCCACACAGCCATAAGCTGCTTAACCTAACAGAAAATTTAGTCGACATAAATTAATCAAACCGTGGGAACGTGAAATACCCAGGATTTCCAAGAGAGTTTAGAAAAAGGAAAAAAAAAAAACAGAAATAATTGAGATTAAGAGAACCCAACATTGAAAGCATGGCACTGTGCCCTCTAAAGAAAGAGCTAGCTAACAGCATTCCTGTCCTTACCACTCCACCAGATAAGGCTGAATGAGGTTCCCAGTGAAGTTAATGGAAAAGCACCAATAATTTCAATAGTATGGAAGAAAAAACAGTGTCCTCTATGCTTTCCTTCTAGGCAGAAATAAGTTTAGAATGCTACCATACAGTCATAGGAAGAGAAAGTTGATAAACAGGTCCCTTGAGCTTAATTACGTCCATTTTAGTATCTCTTGATCCTTTCAGCATTTCTGCAAATTAAACGGTAATCTTGTAATGCAATATGCAGTCCAATTTTGTTCAGCAATCCCAGTCACTTCAGCTTTCTAGCTCTTAATTACATTAAAAATGTAGAGTGAAAAAGTATTTATCTGAATCTGTTACACTGAATAAATCTAGAAGAATTTCACTTACTGGTTTAAAAAAAATCCTGC